TCATGGGAATGCTGTTGATTGGTGGACATTCGGAATCTTCCTGTTTGAGCTTTTGTACGGCAAAACGCCTTTCAAGGGTTCAGGAAACGATGAAACACTATCCAATGTGGTTTCACATAACCTTAGGTTTCCTACCAGCCCTATAGTTAGTTTTCATGCAAGAGATTTGATAAGAGGGCTTTTAGTTAAGGAACCAGAAAACCGGTTAGGATCAGTGAAAGGTGCTGCAGAGATCAAACGGCATCCTTTCTTTGAAGGCCTAAATTGGGCTCTGATACGATGCGCGGTACCACCTGAGATGCTAAGGTTATGTGAGACCAGCATCTGTGTGCCAACCCCAGCTTTGCAGAAAAAAGACGGCTCCAAAGGCGACGAATTGCAGGGTACTGTTGACCATATGGAGTTTGATATGTTTTAGTTTTCTAGGAAATGTGAGCAAAGGAAGATCTTTTTTGCGTCATTTTCTAACAGTGAGTTTTTTTATCCTGGACCTGGTGTAAATCAATTCAGAAAGACGGTGGCAAGTTATTACTATGCTATAAATATACAATAGAGCTAGTTGAGTCTTCAAAAAGTACAGCAATTATCCTATCTTGCGAGCAGCACTGTATTAAAAATTGAATGCTCTGCGGAAAAATCATTATTTACACAAATTATCTATTTTAGGCGGTAAAAGTGGTTGAATAATGTAATCGAATTTTTTTTCACATAATTCAGTTGAACAATTATTTATTTAAGTAGGATGATTGTTAATTTGACCACTATAGGTCTCCAGGAGCACACGTCGACCTCCATAGGTCTCCAGGAACACACGACCTATGGAGCACTTGGCGACCTTTGGAGCTACAATAGCGAGGGAAGAGAGAAGAGTTACTGCAACATGAGGCTTTTTCGCAAGGAGCATCTGACGACCTTTGGAGTACTTGACGACCAATGAGGTCACTGTAGCAAACATTATAGTTCAAGAAATGATTTGATTAGAGTCTTATATGTGAAAAAAAAAATTCAAACACCCTACATGAGCGAGGAAGGAAAAAAAATTCCAACGCCCTACATGGACGAGGAAGCCAATATTACTTTTAATTTCTTTAACAAAAATGTTAAAAAATTACATGAAATTAAAAATATTATGATGAAAGTTAAAAGTGATAAAAGAATTACATAAATTTTATAGTAAATATATAATATGGTGGACTTTGTAAGATAATTTTTTTTTAAAATTAAAGTTAAAAAGTTTTATTTAAATGTTAATGAAAAGAACATGACACTTTGAGCATCTCAATTATTATTTTTTGCCTACCATTGTTTTAAATAAATGTTTTTTTAAACATTATTTTATTATATGATTTAATTTTTATATATTTTTTACATATCAATCTATTCATAATATCAAACTCTCCTATAAACTTTTATACTAGTTAAGAAAATCCATGATGGGATCTTTGCTTGACACCTATTTGTTTTTTTCAGTTGAATTATACACGAATCTATTTTCCTCTTTCTGATCAACTGCCATGGACTTTTTATTTATTTATTTTACTTCATTATTTAGTTTTAGACGTTTTTAAAAACTTTTTATTGGTAGTTCAAAAATTATTTGCATGATAAATTATTTAGTATTCATACTTGATAAGAATTTAAAAAGGAATGTTTAAATGTGATATTTGAAAAGATTGTTGGTATAAGATTTCTTTAATCATGTTATGATTGAGATTAGTTTTGGGTCTCGATGGTGTCAATGGATATTTAGGTGTGTCTCAACAGCTTCTATTTCGGTTCTTAACAATGGCTCGACTACAGAACGCTTTGGGATTTTGAGGGGTCTACGTCAAGGGTACCTTTTATCCCCTCTTCTCTTCAATCTTTGTTGGAGAGGCAATTTAATGCTCTCTAAAGCTTCCGTGAATGGGCTGTTTTTGGGCTTCAATATTGGAAGTGGTTCTAACAATATTTGCATATCGAATCTCCAATTTGTCGGTGATCTAATTATGTTTTACAAAGCTGTTAGTCTCAAGTGGTTAATGTTAAGAGGGTTTTGCGGGCTTTCGAGGGCTTCAAATCAATTTTTTAAAACGTAGGTTATTTGGAATCAATGTCGAAACCTCCATAATAAAAAATTGGTCTGTTAGTATTCGGTTGTCCATGGGTTCTTTCCCCTCGGTCTATCTTGGACTTCCTCTTGGAGCCAAAAGAAATTCTATTTCTCTGTAGAGTCCAGTTATCAACTCGATCTCCCAAAGACTTGCCAACTGGAAATCGAACCTCGTTTCATTCGGAGGTAGGATTATCATGGTTAAAACCATTCTTTCTTGTCTGCCCATATATTACATGTCTATGTACTGCATGTTTCCATCTATAATTGTATGGTCAGTATCGTATCAAACTTTCTTTAGGGTGATTCACCGGATAAAAGAAAAATAAGTAGGTCAAATGGTCTTTATTGTGTCTTCTGACGCATGCTGGAGGTTTGGGATTATCTGATTTCGACAGTTCTAATCGAGCTCTATTGGGGAGATGGGTGTGGAGATTTCAGGCTGGAAAATGACTCTTTATGGAAGAATGTTTTATCTTGTAAATACAATTTTGAGGGTGGTCTCTTACTTCCCCCGTGTGATCACAATAGAAATTTATCCTGGTATTGGGAGAGAATACTTAAATCCTTTTATTCTGACGATTCGATGGGATCAATGCTGCGTAATAATATGTTTATACAGGACGGCCGTGGTAAATCTATTTCATTTTGGAGAGATACATGATTTGGCAACATGGCCTTGGCTAGTAAATTCCCGCGGATCTTTGCACTGTCTAGTAACAAAACGGGGAAATTTTCTGATTTTGGGACAAAGGGCTGTGATGGGTGGAGTTGGTATATTCCCCTTGGTCGCAGGCTGTTCGATTGGGAACTAAATCAATGGTCTAACTTCCAGGTTCTATTATCAGGCTTTAAAGGTTATAATTTGGATATGGATTGGATTCATTGGAATGGGGCTTCGGATGGATGCTATTCGGTTAAATCGGCAAAAAATATTCTCGAGTTAATTCCCATTCTGATTTTAAAAGGGATAATCTGGTTTGGACCTGGTTTGCTTCTCTGAAAGTTGAAGCATTTATGTAGTTAGTATTGCACTGCTGAGTTCTAGTCACGACCGAACTTGTAAAAAGGGGTATGTCAAATCTCAATAACCACCTGTGTCCTCTCTGTAAGTCTCTGGAGGAATCTGTCGATTACCTCTATTTTACATGTTCTGTAGCGTGGGTTGTATGGTGGAGTATGGCTGTTTTATGGGGACTGTCTTTGGTTCTTCACAAAAATCCTATGGCTTTCCTCATTGCATGACAGAGGATTGTTTTCGATAATAACCGAGAATCTTTATAGAATTTAATCCATTCTGCTACCATTTGGTCCATCTGTCTGCTGAGAAACAATATTGTCTTCAACGATAAAGTTGTTGACGTACCTCAGCAACTGTTTACTATTAAAACGGGCTTGGCCTGGTGGCACAAAGCCAAATTTCCAGGTTGCTCAGTTCCTTTAGATAATCTGTTAGTAGATCCGACTTTGACCGTTTGACGAAAAACTTTGCCGATTTGTTCCTGCTGTAGTTTCATGGAGCCCCTCTCCTCCTACTTTTTTAACTTTCAATGTCGATTGTGCTTGCAATAGATCAAATGGTAGCTGTGGTCTAGGTGGCATCTCGAGGGACTCTACATGGCTTAAATTTTTGGAATTCTTAGCGCCTGCTGGTTCAGGGAATGCTACTCTTGCTGAATTGATTGCTATCCATTTTGTTGTGAATGTTTTTTTCTCTTCTAAATGGGTGTCTAAATACTGGTTGATCATTGAGTGTGATTGTCATGTCGTCGTGGATTGGTTTGAGGATTCTTCAAAAGCTTCTCAATTGTACTCTCCTTTAATTAAGAGGATTCGAGATAGTTTTTCTAAAGACTAGTGGGTTCTGCATCACGTCTCTCGAATGCATAATATTATTGAGGACAGCTTGGCTAAAGGGGGTATTGATCGTTCTGAGGAGTTTATTCACTTTTATAATTGACACGGGTCTGGTATTTTCTTATTTTTGACATTAGGGTGCCAAGTCATTTGGTAATCTTTGTCGTTCATTCACTGATGCTGGAGACTTGTTGAGTCATTTATTCCCCTTAACTCTTTATGTTACTTTGTGTTGCATCTATGGGAGTTTGTTCTTCGAGAAATTTCGGTCTGTTTATGTACGCCGCGGGCATAATCTTATTGGAATTCTTAATCCCTGTTGGCAAAGGGCCGGCTGTGCTTGGTGTACTTTTGGGCACTCATTCTGCTACTAATCTTTTTCTTTATCCAAGTGGCATTCAAATTATCGCCTTATTATTGAAAGTGACTGGTAGTGGCTGTAGACTAGCTTAAGGAACCTTCCGAGGCTTATTCATCTCTGGTCAAAAGATTCTTCGTGCAAATTCATAATGAATGTTAGTTGATATGTTAGATTTTGTACTAGGGGCCGATCTCTTGATTTGGGTCGGCTTTGCTTTTGTTTCTTATTGTAAGTCCTTGTAACAGATATTGGTAGGTTTTGGTGTGTTTTTTGATTGTGCTTAATAAAATATGGAGTACTCTTTTCCTTTTTCACCGTCTTGTTTGAACTTCGGCTTAATCGAGATACGAGGAGATTCTTTTAACCTTTAAAAAAATGTAAGAGCTGAATTAATTTAATATATGTATTCCCATAATTATTATTTTTATTTTAAAGAAATTTTAATATGAAACCTACATGTTAACTCGCGAGTACATTTAAATTAGTCCATTAATCTAACCAAGATTAGAAATAATTCTAGTTAATATTACAAATATAGATAATTAAATGTTTTACCATATAAAATTTATTTAACGTTACAATTTAAAATTTAAATTATAAAAACAAATAAGTGGAAATGAGTGTTGAAAAAACTTTAAAAGAAACTGTATTGAACACGTACTATCTGAACTTAACATTCAAACCCAACCTATAAAACATATAGATCATAACTTGCTTTAATCCAAAAATTCAAAATTTCAACTGAATTGTTAGTTTTCTTAAACTACATTTTCCAAAGAAAACTCAAACTTAAAAGATCAGAGAACAATGTCCAACTACAGAGGTCACAAACACACCAAACAATATACCGCTTAAAATTGAAGTAACAGCTGCATAAGAGAAGCCTTGATATTTTGCATTACTTGCTTAATCAAAGAGACTGAAACCCATATCCTGAACCAAAAAGGGAATTATGTCAGTAAAGAACACATGAATAAAGAAGTCAAATAAGTAGTAGTAAATTTGTGTGTAAAATAATCATTACATCATCCGACTCTTCCTTCTCTTCGACCTTCTCCTCTTTCTTGGCCTCAGCGGCCGGTGCAGCACTGCCACCACCGCCACCAGATGTAGGAGCAGCAACGGCAGCACCACCACCACCTGAAGGAACTGAAGCCAACTTCTCCCTTCCAGATGCAATTAGTTCGGTGATATCTTTGCCTTTGACTTGGGACAATAACAACTCTATCCTATCATCATCAGCCTCAGCTCCAACTACAAAATACATAATAAAAATTTATGTCATTCCTACCTAAATGCTAGTTGGCATTTCAGAATTTGGATTCTCAAGTAAAAGAAGTATAAAATTACATAACACAACGCTTGTTAAATCATTATTTGAATTCAAATTTCAAGTTTTTATACCTTTGATGTGTATAATCATATTGAATCATACCAAACTTATATGCATTTTACTCTTACAATTCATAGCAAATGACAAATCAAAATCCAATTTCAAGATTCATGTTTCAAAATAATTCTACTAGATTTTAGTTCCGCTTTCTTAATTTTCGTTACAGTTTTAATACTTCCCTTGTACTATTAGGCTATTATTTACCATTTGCAATTGCAGATTTGACTAAATTCAATAAAAATCCTACGAACACGTAAGAACAACAAATTAACAAATCATAGCTGAATTAAACATAGATAAACGGAGTGAATATCCTTGGATTAAAGATAAGAGTTAAAAAATATAGTAAATCGAGATAACAAGAGAGTGAGAAAAATACCAGATCCGAGAATATCCTTCAGATCAGCGGCAGAAGGGCTAAGGTTCCCTCCCAATACGGCAAGCAAATAGGCAGCTATCACCTTCATTCTCAACTCGTCCAAGAAAACCTTAGAGCCAGAAGGGAAAATGAGCCGCTGGTAAAGAACGCTAGGGTTTTCAGATAAAAAAAATGAAGATATATGCTGCTGGCGATTTCCCCAAAAATTACCCTACACCTATATATTTCTATGTTAAGTACCGTTCAGGTTATATTTCTAATTTAACACTTTTGTAGAAAGACGCATTTTTGCATCGTACTTTACGTCACGTGGGGTAAGGCGTGTCCTGCAACGTACCTTATTAAACGTGTAAAAAACTTGAGTGTTAATTTTGTAAATATTTTTAAAGTGATGTCTAATATGTAATTAATTTCTGTTAGGGTAATATTTATGTAAAAATACCAATTTTATCTATTTATTTTTTTGTTATATTATTTTTAACAATAATTAATAATGTTTATTTACTTTTAAAATTAATTGTTTAAAAATATTAAAATAAACTTTTAATTACAATTGAGAGATCAAACGAATTATTATTCACTTTTTAAAATAAATAAATTAATATACAATAAAAATGAGTTAAAAATAAATAAAATTCAATAAAATATAATGTAAAGCTAAAAATATCATCTCTTTATTTAAAATATTTTTTCTAATATTAATTTTAAAAAATATAAAATATAAAATAAATATTAAATTTTAATTTTATTAAAAATAAATAAATATTATTAATCGTTGTTAAAAAATAATAATTAATGACGAGACTAAACAGTTTTTGTGAAGATTGAGCATAAAATATCAACTCTTTGATCGGATGTTTATTCGTGGTACAATTAAGTTGATATTTAGACATCAATTAGACAATTTTATGTTACTGACTTTGTACGATCGAATTTTCATTCGATTCGTGTAGCTTTCCACACCACGACTGTTTAACAATTATAAACTTGACTAAAATAAACTTTTAATTACAATTGAGGGATTAAATGAATTATTATTCATTAATTATTATTTTTTTAAAACAATTAATAATGTTTATTCATTTTTAATAAAATTAAAATTTAATATTTATTTAATATTTTTTAAAATTAATATTAGAAAGAATATTTTAAATAAAGAGGTGATATTTTTTAGCTTTGTATTATATTTTTATTGAATTTTATTCATTTTTAATTCATTTTTATTTATTTTTTAAAAATGAATAATAATTAATTTGACATTTCAATTGTAATTAAAAGTTTATTTTAATATTTTTAAACAATTGATTTTAAAAGTCAATAAATATTATTAACTGTTGTTAAAAATAATATCACAAAAAAATAGATAAAGTTGGTGTTTTTACTCATATATCACTCTAACAAAAATTAATTACATATTAGGCATCAATTTAAAAATATTTACAAAATTAACACCTAGATTTTTTACATGTTTAACCAAACGCGCTCAGGGGCGCTTTTCTGCCAAGGGTGTTAAATCGGAAAATATAGCCTGAACGGTGCCAGATAAATATATAGGTGTAGGGTGATTTTTGGGGAAAATCGTTGATGATAGGGCTTTTTTTTGGGTAAACTACAACATTAACCAATTAACTATTTTCTCACTCTTATTTTAATTATTAAAGTTTAAATTTTTAAATTTATTTTTGTTTTAGTTACTTTAAATTATTTTATTAATATTTTTCTATGACGTAGGATTTATTATTATTATTATTGTCATGTAAGATTAAAATACAAATAAATAAAATTAAAACCCTTAAATCATACTCACTAAACCTTTACACTCGAAACTCAAACTCCAAAATCAAACCTTGAAAATTTAAACTCAAACCATAAATCTTAAATTACAACCCTATCTCACTCTCATCCTCGTTGACAACACCTCTTATATATTGCACCTCATTGGAATGCATAGTTTATCATGTTGGCTAGACATTGCCAACGACGTTGAACTTGCCAATCTCATCTTCGAAACTCAACAACAAGTTCTTGTTTGAGTCTGCCACCATTATTCGGGTTATTTTTTTTAAACATTAGTTTCGTTTGATGGTTAGTTTATTTTAACTTGGTCCTCAAGTCCGATTAAAGTTAAAGTCGCGAGAGGGGAGATACAACATAAATGTGTTATCGTCGAGGGTGAGATTAGGGTAAAAGGTTGTATTTGAGATTTAGGATTTAAATATAAGATTTAAGGTTTAATTATGAGGTTTATTGTTTGAGTATAGAGTTTATGGATATAATTTGGAGTCTTGATTTTATTTATTTTAATTTTAATTATATGTGGTAAATAATAATAAAAAAGTCACATTATAAAATATATTAAAAAACAAGTCAAAATAATTAAAATATGAGCAATTTTGAAATAAAATAACTAAATTAAAAAAATTAATTTAATTGTTCAAAATAAGAGTGAGGAAATAGTTGAGTGGTTAATTTACCCTTTTTGTTTTTGTCGATGGCTGTCTAATTTAAATCTTAGACATTCATTTTAATTCAGTGCATATTAAGGAAAGAGAAAATAACATCAGTGACCGAAAATCCCTTATAATATATGATTTTGACCAATTTTTTTTCGATTTGCCAAAATGACCAACAAAATCGCAATGCGATCTATAAATCGCAACACGATCTCCAGTATCGCAAATCAGTTTACAGATTCGCAACGCGATTTTGACTATCGCAACGCGATTCTGACTATTGCAACACTGAATTTCAATTTCGCAACAGGTTTTAGTTTCACAACACAAATGTTTTGGGTATATAACTACGCAGTAGCAGCAACTCATAACCTAAATTCCTAAATCGTAACTCATTCCATCTCCATCTATCACTCTCTCCGGCGACATCCGTTCCTATATCCAACGACATCCTTTCCCATCCGGCAATAGGTTTTAGTTTCGCAACTCGTTTGTTTAGTAAATTAATTTACAATAATGAAATCATCTAATGTTGATCATGTTTGAATAGATTTGTATTTTGAAGGGTCATGGGAGAATGTTCATGGTGTTTTACAATATATGCCTTTACCCATGAATTTTCAACTAAAACTCTCATTAAAAAAGTTAACTTATGAAACTCTAATGTTACGTGTTGCAAATAAATTGAATTTAGAGCCCCTAAGTGGATTTAGGCTATCTTATCAGAGAAAATGTTAAGTTTATTTGTTAACCGACAATGAAGATGTTGAACGATTCATTGCCTACATTAGTGTTTCGCAAGATGATGTTACATTGTATGTTGTTGAACCTAGAAGTAGTGAAGTTGGGTTACTAGCGGGTAGTAATCAACTAAGTTTTTCAACCACAGTTTATGGTGCTCAAAATTTAATGGTTCTACCACAATTTCATCTCCAAACAAATTTTGTTTCACCACATTTCCAATATCAAACACAATCTCAAAACCCACAACCTTTCCCTATTCCAAATCCCAATTAACTTTCAGCACCAAATTCCGGTTTTCGTATTGACCAGTTAGACGATGATGAGCCAACATAAAAAATTGTGAGTACTAGTCAGTATTCGAAATTTGATCTTGGTCAATACCCGGACTTTGATCTTGGTTAATACTCGGATTTTGATGATGTTTCAGAAGAAGAAACAGACCATGCGTGTAATGATTTTGATATTTGTCAATACCCGAATTTTGATGATGAAACAGCCGCTGCCGAGGAAGATGTTGTTGATGATAATGAGGAGGAAGTTACGACTGTGAATGAACATGTTGAACATCCATTCTGTAATTCATATAACCCTGAAGAATAAAAAAAAAAGAAGAAATCCCCGAAGAAAATGCCACTGGAGTATAACTGGAATATGCCATAATTACTTCAGATACCGGTAGAAGAGTTGGTAAAGATAACAGTTGATTGTTACACAAAAATTATTTGTATCAAGAAAGATGATTGTTTTGATACAAAGGAAGACTTGAAGATAGTTTTGTATACGAAATGTGTGGAAGATGGCTATCAACTAAAAGTTAACAAATCAAGCAAAGATCGTTTCGAAACAAGGTGTATGATTGACAAAAATTATACGTGGCGTATGATTGCAAAGAGGATAAAAGATTGCGAAATGTTTCAAGTTAGGATTTTTATTGATAAACATACATGTTCAAGAACCCAAATTTTTCATCACCGTAGACAGTCAAACAAAAAGGTGTTGGGTGGTTTTCTGGATAAGTTAATGTTTTTGAATGACAGGGTATATCGGAGACATGAAATTATGACTGACATGAATGCTCGGTTCAAGATTAGTATCTCATATTCTCAAGCTTGGAGAGCCAAATATTATGCCTTGAAATTGTTGAGGGGGTGGCCAGAAGCATCGTTTGCCCAACTGCCGGCTTATTGTCACAATTTAAAGTTGAAAAATACTGGGTCGGTAACTCATATCAAAACAGATAGAGATGGACGCTTTGAGTTGCTGTTTATCGCCATTGGTGCTGCGGTTAGTAAATCAATATAATTTTGTTGAGTCATTTTTGTTAGTTACATGCATTTCACATTTAAATGATTATATTTATTGTGTATATTATTTTGTAGATTCGTTCATTTATTACTTGCATGCGCCCAGTTATTATAGTTGACGGAGCACATTTGAAAGGTCGATACCTTGGAGTAAACTTATTAGCAGTAGTCATGGATGCTAACAATGGGATATTGCCAATAGCTTACGGGGTTGGCAAATCTGAAACCTTTGATTCATGGACATGGTTTATGGGGCATCTTAGGGATTGCATAGGCCCTATTAGCAATCTGACAATCCTATCCGATAGGGCAAACTCAATTGACAACGCTGTTAGAAGGTGTTTCCCATATGCTTTTCATGGACTTTGTGGTCTTCATTTGTATAGAAATCTAAAATCAAGGTCTGCTGGTATAAAAAAATCACAAATGTATATACTGGAATGATGTAAAAGCTTATCTGGAAGTGGATTTTAATAAGCATATAAATTGTTTAAGACGTGTTTTGCCTTAGTGTGCTCAAACACTAGAAGATGTCGGGTTTGAAAGATGGTCAAGAGTACATCAACTTGGAGCAAGATATGGTTCCATGACGTCTAATAGTGCATAATCAATCAACGCTATAAGTCGTCATTCCCGAAAATTACCCATTACTGTG